GCTCTGCGTTGTGGGAGCCACATGGGAACCAGACCTGGACAAAATCAGCACAGCAAATCAAGGGTTTCTTTTCCACTGACTAGAGAGTCTAAGGCAAGGTGGCCCTTTTCAGGTCTTGATCGGTGAACGGGAATGTTAATAACACCACATGAATGCCTTTTAAGAACGTAAGAAGAGCCCTGCTGGATCAGGCCAAGGGCCCATCTAGTCCAGCTTCCTGTATCTCTCAGTGGCCCCACGAGATGCCTCTGGGAGCACATGAGGCCACTAGATAGCTGTCTCCTGATACCCCTCCCCTGCATCTGGCATTTTGAGCTACAATACCTTCCTTCTCAGCCTGGAGATTATGCATCCCCATCACAGCTTGTAACCTGCAAAGGACTTTTTTTTCTTGGTGCCATCTTTATTTTTTTTTTCAGTACTGTACTGTATGTTTTACAATTGTAAAAGAATTACTGCTTTGCACTAATAATCTCCCCATTCCTACCGGCAGTCACCTCAATTAAATCTTATCAGATTAAGTCAGGCAACCCACATAGTCTGGCCACTAGTGCATGATCATCTTTAGCATCCTCCATAAATAATCTGAAATAGTTAAAATGCAGCCTGCAGGCTTTTCTTGTGGAATAGAACTATAGAGCAGAGATGCCTCTAATCAGATAGTGGAAAAAATCAGTTCCCTGATTGTGTAATATGGGGGGGGGGAGAGATTTAAATGGGATAAAGACAATTAAACTGAGTCCTGTGTAGGTTCACAGAATATAGACTTGACTGTACTTAATATAGACCCACTGAAATAATTGGAACCTGTTACTCATCTCTTTTTTATTTCACTTGGTATGTAGTACTATGACTAAGTCTGGAGCCAACACCATTATATTTATCTGACTTATGAATATGGAAAGAACCAGGCAGTAGTAGTTACTCTAGGATAGCTACTTCAGAATAAGACAATTTTGTGCAAATGCTTTTCACTCCCAGTAAGGAAGAAGGAAGTTATAATTTCATGTCATCTTTTTCCTAGAGTTGCGACATTCCCCCCCCCTTTTTTTTTCTTGGGCTGTGCTCCATAGATGGGATTGTCAGTCTCTAATGCTATTGAGTGTTTGGCTCCCAGAGAGAGGCTGCCAATGCTACACTTCACAATACTGTGGACAGAGGAATGGTTCCCTCCTTCTGCTTAAGACTTAAGTCAATCAGCCATAAAAATCTGATTGCCTAATGACACCATGTGTTTTTCCTCCCTAAATGTCAACTGCTATTTATTCTCTTCACTCCTGTATCTCAAGTACACATTTTTTATGTCTAATTGTCTACTGCTATATCACATCTCACTCTTAAAATACAAAATGAAGTTTCTTCGTATAGAATCAGGACCAGCAAATGGCAATCTCATACTAGTTGTGTAAAATGTGCTGTGGATATGGTGTAGCCAACTAACTGGGCAGATTATTAATGAGCAGAAAGTTGGGACATACTGAAAAAAAACATATCAAGGGAGACATTTGGGACTTCCAGCCTTGTTTGATCTTCATCCAAAGCTGCTCAAAGTGAACTTAGCTATAATTCAGGCCCAGATGGATCAGTCATTTAAAGCAATAAAAATCAAGGTACAGGTCTCTCCAGTTAGAAATGTAGAAATGTTCTCAGTAAAAATTCGGGTGGAATAATGGGTATGTGTCAGAGAAGACAGTAATACATATAAGCAGTGTGTGTACAATGAACACATTTTAAGTTTTTCTCTATGCCAATACACTTTGAATTCACACTAAAACAATATATACGTAAGCCAAAAACGTGGTGGAAGGATTTAGGTCAGGAAAGAAAAGGCATTTTCTACCCTTGAATGCCAAAGACACCTAAGCATGTACAAAACATGTTTCTTTGTTCCAGATTTGAGGAGCTGCAGCTGCCATTTTAGCTGTTCTGACTTCTAGGGTCAAAGGCTGCACCTATTAGGCAGGCTGAGCACCAGCTTATCTCATTTTAGAAATGAAGCCCTGATCTGGCGGATGGCTTCCAGGGAGACTGACTGACTTTCTGGCTTCTTTTTACAGGGAGAGTGTAAAAAGAAACAGGGAGAGAGAGAGAAATAGGAAGGAATTATTCTACAAGCATCATAATTATATTTTGTTCTAAACACTGTACTTTGCAGACCTTAGTAGTAGCTCTTGCCAAAGGGCTAGAGCTTTCATTACCAACTCTGGTTTAAACGAGACAGATTTTCCAGATGTATATATCAATATATATGGAGGGGCTTTCTGTATGTGGAGAGAATGAAGGAAGTACCATGTTTTGAATTGAAGCCCCCCCCCACTTGTTGTGGAAAGGGAACACTGGTAATAAGGGAGGACAGTATAATCTCTCTTTCAAGTAAGAGACATTCGGCATTCACCTCCATAGAACACTACGACAGCCACACATCAACGTCTTCTTAGAGCAAGTTGTGCGAATCAGTGATCAGCAGACAGTACAAGGAATAAGAGGCTGGATAAGAAGTTTGCCCTTTTGTTTCCTTCCTCGTTTGCTTGACCACAGACAGGTGAGGCCTGTGTCAAGAGCTGTTGCTGCATGGTGTTCTTCACAAACAACTAAGTCACCTTGGCTGTGAAAAGGCCTGTTTTTAAACATATACAGAGAAATATACATGTTTCTCTGATACCCCTTATTACTTTGGTGTTGCTTAAGCAATTCTGGAGGTTTCATTGGGTCACACTTATTAAGATTGTCATATTCGGGTGGCATTATAGTTTTATAAAAGTGGAATGGTCCCAGGCACACAAGATGTGTGGCAGAATCATTCCCTGCCTCTCTTGATAGTTAATTCCTAAATAGCTTTGGTTCAAGGTGTCTGAGGAGAGGCCTTCCACTCAGTCCCACCACCTTCACAGGTGAGTTTGGTGGGGGCTGGGCCTCCCGTAGGAGGCCAGGTTGGCCCCATCTTTGCTGTCCTTCTGCAGGCAGGCAAAGACCTTTCTCTTCAGGAAAGCTTTCCCTGAATGACTGCCTTCCTGAGTGGGGTTTTTAAATGGATTGTTATGCCTTATTTCTTTGAATCTGTTTTTGGTGCTAATTTTGTTTACCGTTTTATTGTGATATTTGTTTGATCCTTGTTAGTATTTGTATACTTACTATTTTTAGCTGTAAATACTGTATTGTATTTTAATGATGTAAGCTGCCTTGGGTCCTTTTTAAGGAGAAAGGTGGGGTATGTATGTATGTATGTATGTATGTATGTATGTATGTATGTATGTATGTATGTATGTATGTATGTATGTATGTATGTATGTATGTACAGGAGTTGGGTTGGTTCCAGAAACTCTGGGCAGAAAAGGTATGAAAGCCCCCAAAATGGTTTCTTGATATCTCCTGTAGATTAAACTTTGTAAATAAGTTTTTCTGCCCAAAATCTGGAAGTTATATTATTGAAAGGCCTGAATTTGAATGATTTATGAAACAAAAATGATTTGAACCTGCCAAAACCGCAGCAATTTTAGAAAAAAAGAGCAAATATTTACTTATGCTCAACTGCTTTAGGTTCATTCATCCTGAAGCCTTCTCTGACTTCCCTTCAATAATGGCTTTGAATAATCATCATTTTAGACTGCAGAGCTAGAAGGGACCCTATGGACCATCAAGCCCAGCCCCTGCCAAGGAGACACAGCAGGGAATCAAACTCCCAACCTCTAGCTCTGCAGCCAGGTACCTAAACCACTGAGCTATCCAGCAGTTCACTTGTGGGCTCCTGGAAACCCTTGAGAAGATGGGAGAAACAAAAGTGGAAGCCCACTTGGCGAATTCCCCGTCAGCCAATTTCAGGGAAGCTTATACGTATGTCTTGGTGTAGGATTTTCCTCTAAAATAGCTATTGAACTCAAAGAAAAGGCTAGACCACCAGGCTCTTTCACCCCCATAGTGGGCTTTCAACCTAAATCCAAATGTTATGGAGCTGATTTCCCTCAGGAAAAGGCCACCTAACTTGTTGAAAAAACTGCAGAACCCAGCCAGGGTGGCCCCAGTTGTTTTGCCTAGTTTGCGTCTGGCCCACTTTCTTTCCCTCACTTGTTCTCTCCTTCCACCCCCTTTCAGGGAAAGAGGCAAAGTGCTCTGGCCACCACTTTTAAGTACTGTTGTCTATGTATTAACTGAGGTTTCTCATTTCCTTTCCAGGTTTGGGAGATGCCTGGGGGCAGCCAAGCAGATTAGGCCCCTTGGATAATGTTGCGAAGGAGCTGGGATCACATTTACTTCAGGTAGTGACTCTACAAATCCTGCTGCTTTCATGCTTATCATTTTTCTTCAGGATACATTTTCTGTGTTTATGCTAATACTTGTTGAAGCCTACCCCTCTCCCCCTCCCTGAAAGGGAGTTGGGTTGTGTTCCCAAGGACAAAAGGAAATGTTTCGAGCCTTCCCCTTGTAAAGCGCCCTTATTAAAGATAATTGGATATGGTTTGATTCCTCACGATGCTTCTCTTGTTGACTAAGGAAGTTATAAAATACATCAATAAGTATTGCTCCTCCCCCCTCCCCCAATCAGTGCATTTTAAGGACAAATAGGGAAATCTACATTGCATATGTGATTGGAACCAGAGTATGCAGGAGGATGAGCACAAAGGGTTAATGAAGAATGAAAGTGTGACCATCTTGTGTATTGCAGTGCACCAGGACCGTAAATCAAGTGGCATTAATAGGGATGAAAACTCAGTAGCATGCAATAGTGAATGGAAATAGACAGTCACACTTGTAGGATATAGGCTATTTAGCCTGTGGTTGAGAGCAGCCTGTCTCTGTCTGTATTTACACATGCAGGTGTGCATATTTTAAATGGAACATTTCAGTTCTCTTCATGGTTCAGCAGGGAAAACCTTTAAAAATACATAGCTCCTATGGTTGGAAAAGAACATCTGGATTAGATCTTCCATTTATATTTGCACCTTAAAATACAGTTGTTCAACATTGGGTTGATCCACTTTGGAATTTAGCTGGCCCCCATTTTGCCTGTCCTAATGCATCGAGACTGGTTTAGGCTGCCATTTTCCCCACTTTTTCCAGTGTTTTTTGTTTTTAACTTAGTAAACCTCCCCTTCATCTCTTATCCTTATTTTGAAAATATAAATAATAAGTGTTTTTCTTTTCATTGTAAATGTTTAATGACTAGAAGTGTGGTTCTTTGTTCTAAATTTCATGATGATAGAAACAAAATCCAGAAGAGAAATATGAGTTTAAGCAGAAGTCAGAAAAATAAAATTATAATTGAACTGTATTCGTGAAGGCTTTCACGGCCGGGATCTAATGGTTGTACAATAGCCTACCTCACAAACTAGCCTTCTCACAGCCATAAATACTCCACCCACTCTCAAGCCTACCCAGAGCACAGTTTGCTGTCCTCTGAAGATGCCAGCCACAGAGACTGGTGAAACGTTAGGAAGAACCACCTTCAGAACACGGCCAAGAAGCCCGAAAAACCCACAACAACCATTATAATTGAACTATTTTTCACAACTCTGGCTATCCATCTCAAACTCACTACTGTCACCTGTTAGGACTGGGAATTCTGTTCTACTTTGTTTTCTCTGGTTTTCAATCACATTTAATTGGTATCATGATTGGTACATAGCTATTTGAGAAACTTATAGCACTTATATGAGGTTGCAGTCCTATAAACATTTATGTGGGTATAAATTCTATTGTATACGTACTTTGGAATCATTTCTGAGTAGGCATATGTGAAATTGCACAGTAACTGACACAAACAACAGACATTGTACAGTAAGGGTTCTTTCAATTTCTTAATACATAATTATTTTACCAGTGATTTTAGAAAGATGAGGTGTGAATTACTGCAATAAACAAATACTGTAATTAAATGTCATTAGTTTTCTTTTAGTGGCAAGTAAATGCATGATTACTTCAAATGCTTTATTTTCACAAGGATATTTATTATTAGGAAACAATTTAATGAAATCAGAAATCTATGTCTTTTCAACGTCCTTTTTTTCTTAATATATTTGCATAAATACCCATGAAATATATAGAGTTTCTGTTTTCTAAAAACTTGTTTTAGAGCATCAGTTTGAAGCACAGTCCAGTAGTCTACTGCTAGTCCTGATTAGAATAGACCCATTGATTCAGTGGACTTCATGTGATTGTTGATTTACCATTCACCAGTTAATTTGAAGGGTCTACTCTCCAGTTGAGACATAGCATACTGACTCATGCTTATTTACAACAATTAATTAAAAAAAAACCCACCAGATTTGATATTCTTTATGTTCTTTGTAAAATATCTTTTGTCACACACTGAGTAAACAGCTTAATAGTATGTATTAATTTGCTATTTATTTAAAACTTGAATTTCACCACAAGAATAAATACTATATATCAAATCAGCTTCATGTATGGAATAGTGAGTTGCTTCACTGCCATTTTTATATTTTGCGTGATATAGACACATGATTTAATATATCAGTTTTTTTTCTGAATTATGAATGCTGTTTTATGTCCCACAGGTAATCTTCTGAGCTGTGTATATTTTTGCCTCTGATATTAAACGTGCCACTAAAAGTAAAGTTTTCTAATGAAAGTGCTGATATAGCTTAAGTATAACATTGGGAAACAAATTGCTATTTTATAAGGAATGTTTTAAAGCAGTGTTTTATTTAAGAAAGCAGTGATTTCTTCCCCAAGTTAATACTCTATGAAGTTTTGTTTATGTTCTGAAGAAGGAAGAAAAAGGAAACCGAAGAGTAATCTGGTTCCAATTACATGCTGTAAAAGCGGGATAGGGTAGAGAATCGTTTGGAATATTTTTTTTATTATTACGGTAATACTGCACTTGCCCCTCTGTTACAGCCTTTATTGCTGTACTTTCCTTCTGTTCCAGCATCATGGAATATGAATTAGTAAATCTAAAAAGCAATTGTTTTATCTAGGCATTCAGGAAATCGTTTTTCTTTTCAGAGTTCTCTTTCCCTTCTCAAGTATAATACTTTGGCTCCCATTTTGCCAAATCACACTTTCAGAGAAATGGATTTCACGGAAAGGAATATATTCGCTTTTGTATCGAACTGTACTGTTTGTAATCTATTCTTTAATGAGCTGTGACATCTCGTATCTTAGGCGCAGGTCTTCCAGTCCTGGCTGCCCTAGACCTTTACCTGGAGGTTGAACCTGGGAGCTTAGGTTCTTTGCCACTGAACTTTGGCATTTCGTTTGAACTGCTGCTCTGTTTCAACTCACAGTGTGCCTCTCCCAGGTCTCAAGTGAAAAAACGTTACCTGGCTTGCTACCCTATATTTTTTTCAACGGGTATGCAAGGATTTTCCTGCTTTAAAATAAATGCTCTGCCACTGGGTATGGGGCCACTCTGCAATCAGTGGAGTTTTGTTTATGAGTGTGTATTTCTAGGATTGTGATGGAAAACTTTTACTGTGAAGAACATTGTGACTCAACATTTGAATCTCTGGCATCATGTTTGGAAGCAGTTCTCATTTGTTTCAGTGAAACCTATTTAGATGTGCTCAGAATTGGTCTTTTTTAAATTGCAAGGAAATTGAATTTCTGCTGAATATCCGCTTTATCTTGCTGACAAGTGTATACAATGTAGCTCCCAAACATTAATAATATAGCATATCCAACTAGCATTTTGCAATTTTACATGTGGCGATAGAAAATCTTTTTCCCTTTTCCCTATCATAGCTTATAAAATCATTTTTTATATTATTTCAATTTCCCTTAACAAGTTTTAAAAGAGGCATTTGTCAGATAATACTGTGCTTAAAAACCAGCAGTATTTAAAACATTGCTCAAAGTATTCTTGAAAAGGTAAATAGTGATAAACTGTTCCTTCCAACAAATTGGGATTGGCTTTCCCCCTAAGAATCATATAACTCAGAATGTGTGCTAAATCCCAAAAAATTTTTTATCAAGATGAGATTGTTAACTCAAGTGTTGCTGCTGTAAAATGAGCATATGTAAGGGGAGAATGAGTTAGAATTAACTGGGTTTTTTTTAAATGGTGTGTGTATAATAGTTTTCATCAGGCCAATATGGGTAATTTTTTTTTAATGTATGTTCTTCTGTAGGGGGAAATTAAAAACTTCTCACAAGGAACTTGACTATAAATTGTAAGTGGTAAGATTTTATTCTATTTCTTTCTCTCTTACAGACTCTGGATGGGTTTGTTTTTGTGGTAGCATCTGATGGCAAAATAATGTATATCTCAGAAACAGCTTCTGTTCATCTAGGTTTATCGCAGGTAGGAACACATTTCTGTCCCTCTGTTGAATGCCGGTGTTGGAGTGACATATGATGATGATATTACATTGCCAGTGATATGAAGTTCCCCCTTTAAATTGGTTTCAGGGTTTGTTTGTTTTTGTTTTTCTGGGAGTCAAATGTTTAATTCACACAGTTTGTCATTGTATGGCAACAGTCTTGTTTTTCCTTGTTACTCACACAGGTTTGGAATCTAAGAGTGCCATCCACAAAAATGCTCTGTCCCTTTCACCCCCTGTGCAGTTATATAGCAAGCACTACCCATTCGTAGCTGGATGCTTTTGCATTTGGCCAGAACGGTCAGGGTAATGGTATCCCTTTATGGAAAAAAGTAGAGATTTCCAGTATGCCCTTTAGATTGTTTGTGGTAGTGTTAGCTGCTGTGAAAATAGAGGAAACCTGAGTTTTATAGTGAATGTGCTTTAGGAAAAAATAAAAAGTGGTTAGATTTATGAGTGTTCACATGGAATTCGGGGTAATTTTTCCTCAGTTTTGCCAGCCTCATGGCCTTTTCAGTAAAGCGTTTTATATGCTTATGGTAGAACTCATAAAACTAGGTTTACTACTGTTCTGCTCTGGAGTTAGTGCTTTGGGTTTTAGGCCACTACTACATTTTTTTTCTTTTTAAAGTTGGCTCTAGCTATGATCCTAAGCTCAACTTCTTGGATGCAAATTTATTTAAAAACATAGGGTTTACTTTCAAATATATATGTTTAGATATGGCCTTTAGACAATAGATAAGTATGACTGGATTTAGTCTAATACAGTAAAAATTAAAAATTATATTCATAATCCATGGTAGTTGTCACAACAGCTACTGTTTAACAGTGTGAATGTTCACATCATTATCAAAATATGCATTTTTTAAACTTATGGAAAGTATATCTATTAATTTATTAAACAACAAAGTCCATTTTCATGTATGGATTGGCTCTTGAAGTATGCTCTCAAGTTAGCCTTAAGGCACGTGTTAGGTCAATATTCACCTTCTGTATTGTTGGCTTCCTGTCACAGGGTTGAGTTAAATTTTACGCTTTATTTTGAGATTTATTACTGAGACTTACAGAAGATTTTTTAAAAGTTACACCCTGCTCTTAAATCTGTCTGCCCACTCACAGATGGAGAAATGTGGGACTGAAATAGCTGAGTTATGAGAAGCATCATTTGAGGCTCTGTTACTACTGAAGGGAGAAGCAGCACTTGTTACTTCCTCAGGGCAACTGGCATTCACATAAGAAAGTTTCTGAAGGGCTTTTGGATCTTTCAAGATCCCCCTTTCTGAGCTGGCACTATATCTCTACATTAGCAGCTGCCACATGACATCAGACCATGTTTATGAATTCCTATATCTGTGCTTTAGGATCCACTAACATCACAATGCAAAGGGCCAGACTAGATATTTTTAGAAGAGTTGTTCCTTCAAGAAGCAAAATATGTCTTTTTGTCTCAGCACATAGTCTTCCTCATCTACATACCTTGCATTTAGTTTGCTTTGTTTTGTGACTGATCATTGGAAAGTAAACACAGGCTTAATTTGCAAGTCTGATTGCCAAGGTATGTTTCTGAAGAGATAAAGCTGTGGGAGAGAATATAGGTTAATGGCAGGGAGTACCTGTTCCCCTCGACATCTAGTGTGACCCTTTCCACAATCTGTAGCAGTTTTCTTCAGTAGTCTCTCTAAATTAACAATAGTTGGTTTGCTCCCACAACATCTTTTTTTCTCTGGGAATTCTCAAAAGAAAGCTGACACCAGCAAAATGAATAAATTCTTATAGTGTGGGTGGGTGTGGGTGGGTGTTTGGATCAAATCTGGAAGAGTAACAGAGGTGCTAGTGACTCTGGATATGTTATGATGGTAGTAGCAGATCCTTAAGTGCAGACATCGCAAAGAGGTAAGTGGGTTGCGGAAACAGTCTCACACAACTGTTGTTTATTTTTGTATCCCCAGAAAAGAAGCCTTACTTTTTTTAAAAAATCCAAGGCAAATAGTTGCAGAGAATGTTTATACATGTGCTGTCTTGTTAAAAGGCAAAATGCAAATGTATTCTGAAGTGAAATAAATTCCAGTTATAGTGCCCTGACTCAGGGGTTAGGACTGATTGCTGTAAGGGTTACTGAGTTAATGTAAGGCATGCATACTCAAACAACATGGACATTATCTTAAAAGCCAAGTGCAGAGGGAGCTAACGAATAATCTTGATTACAGCTTCTATCCTAGAGTTGATATATGTAAGTTAATGAAAGACTTGCTGCTTGGTCTTGTCTGGAAGTTAGCTCTGTTGAAGCCAGTGGAGTTTATTTCTCAATAATTATGCCAAGAATCACACATCCAAAAGAATGGTACAATCCTATGGGTAAGGCTGAGTTCCCAACATATGCAGATTAGATTACCTGGCACTTGCTAGCAAGACAAGGGGAAAGAAAAGTGTGTGTACTCTGATATCCTCCACAGTTTGTTCGTGTAAGCAGCGAGCAATCTCCCTTGGTCCAGGGCCAACACATGCCTATTCCTGGATCTTGAAGAATCATCGTCCTCCCAAGTTTTCTTATAGACATGAGTTTTGAAGCTGAAAAAGCCCCTGTGTAGTTTCTAATGGCCAATATATATATTTTTTTAAATTAGATTTTCGGTGTTCAGGTGGGAGTACTGGGTGTTCAAAACTTAGGGGGAAATTCTCTACAGTCCCCCTCAAGGACAAAAGGAGACTTTCTGAGCAAGTTTTCTCCCCAAAAGACTTCCAAATATGTGAGGGGTGGATATGAATGCCAGGGGACTGCATGTGGCCTGCGTACTTTATTTGGGTGCCTGGGAGTGGCATGGTGCAAACCCCACTTTACTACAGTACTTCCCTCTGATTGCTTGTAGTGGGAATGAGTGTTTATCTAAGTGTTCTCGCTTTGTCTAGGTGTGGTCAGGGATAGGGAGGAATTTAGATTCAAGGCCTTCACTGCTCCACCTATGGCCTGAATCCCTCCTTTGCTGTCTCCTGAGGTTAAAAAGGCAGAGATTGCAAATATTTCCATGGGTGGCGAGGGGAGATCTGACCTCAAAGGGAAGATCCAAACATCCCTGTGGCCCCTGGAGACACAATTCCTGGTACCATTAGACTGTACTATGTGTTGTTATGTGAGATGTTTAATGGTAACCAAGGATCCTAAAATGTGCATTTTTCTGAGGGTGTGTTAAGCATACAGGCTGTTGCTGGATGAGAAAGGAGACAAATCTGGAAGTAGGAAGCTTGAAATAATTTGCGTGTACAGAAATTCCATGTCCCCGCGTTAAAAAAAACACCTAGGGTTTGTCTGGGAATGTACTCTTTTTTTTGGTAATAATCTATACTGTGTCAGTGGGACTGCCCAGAAGCTTAGACTAAAGTATTTTGTCTCATCATTGAAGCTCAAAACAAGCAAAGGCACACTAAATAAATTGATAGCAACTGTAAAAATGGTTTAAAAACATTCCCTCTTGGTTTATATTAATTACAATATGTTTTACATACATCAGATAAATAATGCACATTAGATATGGGGGTATTCATATTTGTATATGAATATCCCCGCACAGCTGGACATAACGAGGGTCCGGCCCCCTGGGGCCAGACTGTCCACTCATGTGTCCACTGCTGCTGCCAGCTCCACTCTCCCTTCCAATCACTCCAGAGCTCACGGTCAGCTATCCACTTGTCAGCCTGGCTGGAAAATTTGTCTTCCCTCCTTCTGCAAGGAGTGGATAGTTGACTGCAAGCTCTGGAGCAACTGGAAGAGAGAGCAGAGCTGGTGGTAGCAGCGAACGCATGAGTTCAGCTCCAGGGGGCAGGACCCTCATTACATCCAGCTATGTGGAGGCATTCGTATTCCTATACAAATATGAATACCCCCATTTCTAGTTCACATCTATCAATGTGGAACTCAAGGTATTATATTCATTCTGTGGATCATTCTTGAATGAACACATAACATGACATTTTTTGCAAGGGAAGCCTGAATTCAGATCAGGAGTGAAAGCGTGCAGATTATGGAAAGAAATTTACAAAAGAATTAATGCAGAACCTGGATTTTTTCCCCCCGTACTTGCATTTTAAAAAGCAGACATATCTACTAAATTATTTAGATGGAGACAAATTGTTTGCAGTGACAGGTGTTTCAAAATCTGTAATTATAGAGAGTTAGCTTAAAATAAGTTCACACTTTTATCCAAACTAAACATTGCCACTGAATACCAAATATCTATTATGATCACTGCCCCTCTCATTTACTACTTCTGGAACACTATATTTTGCTGATGCCAAGAGAAGTTTTAATTCATTACTAAGGTGACTAATGCTAGCATCCCACATATTCAGGTCCTCATGTTAGGTAGTCCTACAAATCATCATTTGATAATCAGAGACATTTACCATTGGATCACCTCCTTTCACCCTCTCCCCTGTCCTCTTCTGCCTTCTCCTTAATCTATTTGTTTATGTCTGAACTGGGTTTGAGTGATTATTAGATTACAAATCAGGATTAAACTGAGGTTTGTAATTCTGATTTGAAGGATCTGTTCAAGCCTATTCTTTTAAGGTCTCTTCATATTAGGCCTTAGAGGGACGTGGTGGCGCTGCGGGCTAAACTGCAGAAGCCTGTGCTGCAGGGTCAGAAGACCAAGCAGTCGTAAGATCGAATCCACGTGATGGAGTGAGCTCCCGTCACTTGTCCCAGCTCCCACCAACCTAGCGGTTTGAAAGCATGCAAATGCAAGTAGATAAATAGGGACCACCTTGGTGGGAAGGTAACAGCGTTCCGTGTCTAAATCGCACTGGCCACGTGACCATGGAAGATTGTCTTCGGACCAAACGCTGGCTCTATGGCTTGGAAACGGGGATGAGCACCGGCCCCTAGAGTCGAACATGACTGGACAAAAATTGTCAAGTGGAACCTTTACCTTTACCATATTAGGCCATGCATGTATAACAGGGGGAGAAAAAAGTGTAGGGAGAGAAAGGAGCACATAAGCCTCTAACTCATTTCTGGCTCATGAACTATGATGGGAAGATCATCATGATGCAGACTTGATTTCCCAAGTGAAGGATGAACTTCTGTATCCTTCAAGATGTTAGATTGTGATTCCTTTGTAGCCATCAGAGCTAATGGGCAGGGGTCATAGGAGTTGCAATCCTAAAGCATCTGGAAGGCCATCTTAATTTGTAACAGGAATAATTAACATCTCTATAATATATTAATTTACCCTTAGAAGAGAAATGGCCGTAGAACTTTTAGCATAGACTGCTTTAAAAAATACTGTAAATGGCAGTAGATACAGATCACAGTCTTCAGGAAACACACTGCAGCTCAACTGTTGTTGTCTATGGCAAGACCAAGTAGCTTACAGATTATAATATTATATTGACAGCACATTTTGCTCCAAGAAAATAATGTGACTGTTAGAAATGCAAGGTGATATGTGAAAATCATAGACATATAACATACCAATACCTCTGAAGAGTAATACTGTAGGAGGAAAAAACAAATCTGTCATCCTGAATTTAACTATATTCTTCACAGGTGGAACTCACTGGCAACAGCATTTATGAGTATATCCATCCATCAGACCATGATGAAATGACTGCAGTCCTAACAGCTCACCAGCCTCTTCATCCTCATCTCTTACAAGGTACTTCCATAAGACATGACAATGCACAGATTATGAAGATGATGAGATATAGGGCTACCTTTGGTGCATTAGAGTGGTTGATCTGAGATTTACAAACATAAAATTGGTACTTGGTCAATAATGTCCTACCCAGATGTACTGATGTAGCATCTTTCATATCATCCCTCAGTATTATCTGTTATTGCTATTCAGTCTTTATGTCTGGCTTTCCATCCTGTTAGTTCTGAGGTTGGAATCTATAGAACCTCTATGTTGCTGGGCTGTAGTCCCTGACATTACTTGCCATTGGCTATACTAGATGACGCTGATGGGAGCTGGAATCCAACAACTGGTGGATCACAGTCTTCCCAACTCTGATGTTATATTTTTGCTTTATGGGCCATAGGCATGATTTGATGAAGGACTTTGTTCTGTAGAACAGTAGTCTATAGAGTACAGAGCTGTACGAACATTTTGCGAGTATTCGTTTACTAGCAACAAACAAAACATCCTGAAGTTTTGTGGGATTCTTCTTCAGAACACATGAAAGATGGGAAATGACAAGGGCGGCTGATTTTGTTCCATCATGCCAAGGATGTGTCCGGGTTTAATTAAAGCTAAATATAATTTCACAGAAGTGGCTAAAGAATCTTGCTTAATAGTCATGTGCAATCTGGGTGAACAAATACAAATTCATTACATAAACCAACAAATGCCTCATTTAAAAAAACCGGAACATATAACAGAGAAAACCATTTAAAAGTACATAGAACATTTTATTTTAACATCTTTTTTGAAGTCAGGCATGTTGTCTTTTAATTTCTGAGAAAAGGGATGGTTTAAGAGACACACATGATAAAAAAGAATTATCGATTAAAATAGCATTGGTGACAGATCTGTGAACAATTTGTATGCAATATCTTGGTGTGATGTTTCATAATTGGGATTTCAGTTCAAACTGGACCAGAGAGTACACTACACAATTCAGGAACAGCACAAGAGCACAGGAGAAAGCCCTCTGATGCATGTCTGCCAAGTGGGGTCTTGTAAATCACGTTATCCTAAGAAGAGCTTTCGAAAATCAGATAGACGGCTTCTTAGATAGGTGGATCAAGTTGGCCAAAGCAAAATTACTCTTATTCCGGCTGAAAGACCAACTGAAATGGGTCCACATCTTATACCACTGCGTCCTGGATGGCATTTAAAAAGTAGAAAATAGTGGAGAGCCGCAATTTATTGGAGAGCAGCCCATTTAGAGTTTAGTGGAGAGCAGCCCATTTAGAGTTAGATGCAAAATGTTTGTTTACCAAATTGTACTGAGGATGTTTGGAATATAGTCTACCATCCTACAGGCAGACCCGCTTGTGGAAGATATAAACTACTGTCTTATAAAGGAAGATGGTAGCTTTTAGGTAACCTCAGGAGACAAGCATTTTGTTGGAGGATTTGGACTAGAGTGGTTTCTTATTTTGATGCCTGATTTGCTAATAAAATCGGAAACTAACTTATAATAGAATTAGATCAAGTGGCCAGTCTATTTCCACCAGTCCAGTTGAACTTACCTCAGTCTGTGTCCAACCCATGGTTATTATACAGTACATCTGGTATATGCACGATGTGGTACATTATCCATTTAAAGAGATTCCCATAATTTAGTTAAGGATCAGGTCACTGGGGAAAGATTCTGACAGTGTACAAACCCAGTTCTTAAGGGGCCTTAAGGGGCTGGGACAAATACCACACACACTATTACATTTACAAGCCTTCTCTATATCTGTACAAGGAGAGATGCATGGAACAGTTGCCTTTGTTAGGAATGCAGAGTATATCAGGCTGCCAAGATGAAATCTTTCTGTTTCACCAGGCACCTTAGAACATGGTCTGATGTATAGCACAGGTTCTGCAAGAAACTAAAAAGGGCTACAAACTGCAAGAAGAAACAGTTTGTGCATAGATATATCATGCCCAAATATTAAGAAGTTAGCATTAGTAGATGGAGAGAGAGACACAGAGAAAATAATTTCACAGATGTTGAGAATTTGAGAGAAGAAAAGACAAATTATGTGGTTTCCTATGTTTCTAGCAAAACCAATAAATAATGTCCTTAGCCCTGGAAATAAATGTATAGCATGGAATCCTGTGCATTACAACCAGAGTAGGGCTGATGAATCAACGGAACTTACAGAGGAGTTGGCTCACCAAACCCCACTAATTCAGTGGGCCTACTCTAGTTGTGCTCACTACTGGAGTTCTGCCTTAGAATATATTTGTAGAATCAATAAATGACTATGTATCAGTAATTTTGAAGCCATGTATAAAAAATAAAAATAAATGTAATAAAATAAATCAAAATAATGTAACATTAAAAGCTAGAAAAAACTACAATATATTAATAAACTTATGGCTAACGTTTATTGAATTGAATCCTTGCCTATATATATATATATATATTCTGTTTATCTCTGTACTATTTACATTTTTGACAACTTCCTGTGAAGAATTACTGCTTTCCATATGGGAAAGGTTTGATGGGAGTTGGTGACAAAAGGGGCTGTTCGTATCCTAAATTTGTTGAAAACACATGAGATTGTTCCACACAAATCAAAGGAATTTGGTTCAGAGAACATATTACATTTATAGTATTTTATTTAAGATGGCACTACACTTTTTTATTAAGGTGTAATGAAAGCAATGGTGCTGCTTTCTAGTGCATGGAGTAAGCATTGAAATTTATATTACTTATTTGTATGGAAAGTTACTAAGTATAGCTGAATGTTAAAAAGCATCTCCACTGAAAATAATATTCCACTAAAGCTTTCCAAAACTAGAAAGAGAAGCAACAAAAGAAGGTATTGTAACAGAAAACCTTAGGGATCCGACACCCCAATTTAATATTTTAACTTTAGAGCTTCAAGCACTGAATATTCTGAAGGCAAACAAAGATAATACAGAGAAAATCTGTTGCGTATGATTGTGCCTCAAAGGAGGCACCTCTACAGCTGCTCCTAAAGAAATCCATGTTGGGCCCAGGTAGCTGTGCTAACTTTCAGCCAGTCGCTAATTTACCTTTTGGAGCAGAGTGGTCAAGTGAATGGTGACTATGCAAGACCAGCACTTGCTGATTTTCTTGGTGATATTCTCTACTAATATTGGCCATGCTGTCTTCTCAATTGGCTTGCTGGTTGGGAACTGGAAGCCCAGCTCTAGACATTTAATTCCTAGTTTCAGATTTGGGGGATGGATAATTTTGCTCTTAGTATGCAACTAGACCATTAAATTATCCCAGCCTGTATCAGTCTAAATTGTGCTAAACAGGGTGGCTTTGAAATATTTGGGGCAAGCCTTACAATTCTTATACAGGAATTGACCACATTACAGCTCAAGTGACCCTGTTTAGTAAAATCAAGACTTCTTTCCCTTCAAAGAGAAAGTTTTCCATTTTTCAAGATTGTTAAGTGGCTTAGCCAAAGCATGGAGGAGGAAGCCATTTAACAATCTTGAGATATGTAATTCTCCATTGCTGCTCACCTTTGGAGGGGAAGTGAGGGGAAATTTTGCATTTCTTTTTTAATTGTTACAAACCAACACAGCACATCAGTGATAATTTGAGAGCACTTTTAAAACACATTGCTAATGCATTAATGACAATTAAAAAGAAATAAAAATCTTCTTCTCCTTGGCTTCCAAAAGCAAGTGTTAAGGAAGGTTCCTATTTCTGAAGATCATGAAATGGCTTCAGCAAGGGACAGCGAGACAGCCGCTTTGGTTCAATACCAATGATCACACATGCAGGAACTGAACCAAAATGAAGCAATACTACCTGCACCTGAAAAAGAGTAGCCCCTGACAGGGAGAGAAAAGGATGCAGGTAGAAATGCTCTGGAGAGAGGCTGTTTGTGCTAGCATGTAAGTTGCATGATCACCAGGAAAAGGGGTGAATTAGTCCGTCCACAGAGTAGCCCAAACTGTGTGGAACAAATCCTTATGTAGTTGCACCCTTTCACTATGATGGCCTGCAAGCCTCAATCTCATTCCACATGCAATTCAAGTTCAACATGAAACTACAGAATTACACACCAGTATGTTTATGACACCCAGCTCAAATCATTGTCTGGATGTTGTGCTAAACTTTCACTGAAAGATCTGTCTTCCATTCTGGGGTGCTTTAAGGACGGACTGCCTTTGTCGCAGGAAATACAATAGTGCCTTTTGTTTCCTTCTGCTTTGTTTGTTAACTCCAGATCCCAGAATTCTTCTTTCTGGGTGTTCCACCTGCCAGACCTAAACTGTGTTCACCTGAAGAAAGGCTGCATTTGAAAGGTTCACGGCTTGGATTAGTCCAAGCTTCAGCCTAGGTGTCGCTTGGGAACTTCCATAAACAATAATACCATAAGCAAAACTTTAATGGTGACTTTTCCTAAATGATGAAAATTCATTCTCATGGCTGTGACACTAGAAAACTGTCAAGATGTCAAAAAGAATAGTAAGAAGAGACTTGAAATACTTATCTTTTGTTTTCAGAGTATGAAATAGAGAGATCTTTTTTCCTGCGAATGAAGTGTGTTTTGGCCAAGCGAAATGCAGGACTAACATGTAGTGGCTATAAGGTAAAATGCTCAGATTTTTGCCTTCTTTAGAATAACATATTTTCATTTTACAAAATCACTTTAAGTCAAGCAAGTATTTGGTAAAAATACAGCCACTGATAACTAACTGATGGAGGATGAGGCAGTATGGTTTTGAAATAGAGTTGTTGGGAGGGAGAATTAAACCCCCATGAATACACATGTTGATTACTCTGAAGATTTGCTGTATTTGATCCCAGGCATCATAAACTTGATAAGATAATCAAGGTCACACTCTTATGTCTCTTGCCATTCTCCTACTTCCGGAGATTTTCCTCCATATTGAAAATCCCCATCTAACTACTGCTCCACATTGTACTATAATTGCTCTGCAGTCCATTTCTCCTGTGAAGATTTTTTGGGAGTACCTCTGGTCTTTTTCACCTCTTTATTTATTTATTTATTTATTTATTTATTTATTTATTTATTTATTTATTTATTTATTTAATATGCCGCCCACTCTACCCAGAGGTCTAAATTAATTGCCAAAATCAAGGTAGTGTCATGAGATACCCTCTTCTGTAAGGTTTCATTATTGTGATCAGTATTGATCTCTACCAACTGTTGTAGTTTCTTGTCTACAAGTATCTAGTTCTGCCTGATCTGGTACTGAAACATTGCCTACTCTTTTTTTAATATATAAAGGCACTGCAATTTATGTTAGTTCTTCCAATCTACTAATCTACTTTTAGTACCTGCCCCTCCTATTGTTATAGCTTTGGTACTAATCATACCAATCCCATTATTAATCTTTTGAGTGTGAAGGGTGAAATGGGATCATCCCTTCATAGTTTAAGCAAAATTTACGAAAGAGCTTATTACTGCCATATGCATGTAATCTCTCTCCGTATTGTCACATCCCTGGAGACAATGTAACATTACCTCCACAGCATATGTTAAAATATCTCAAAAATGTGGTTTTCTTAAATATGTGCATGTGTACACTTTTTAATATTTTAATTTTCAAATATTATGGGAACATAGTGTTGAATGAAGTGCTAATCTTACTCTATGTTTACAAAATAAACTTTAGCATTGGGAGAGCCAGCATGAAACTTTAAATATAATTATGTAGGGTCAGTATCTTTATAGTTTAACAGTAAATTAATTTTCTAGCATTGCCATATCATACATGGCATACTGTATGTCTACCTCTGCTGACAAATTAACCAGTCATCTTACTAAGCTGGTACTCAATGTGGTGTAGGATAGAATGATAGATTAGAACTCTGGAGACCAGGGTTCGTATCCTCACTTGGCATGGAAATTCACTGGGGGAGTGAAACTGGCAAAATGACTCCTTAAATATCTCACATACCTTGAAAACCCTGTTAGGCTAGCTATAAGTTGGTTCCAACTACATGGCACATAACTAACTAACTAACTAACTAACTTGATAAACAACAACAAACAAATAAACAAGTGTAAAAAGCAAAAAAGAAAGAAGGAAATGAAGGAAAAGCCCTCATCAACGTTACAAGGAGGGGTTTCTGTTGGTGGGGAGAGGGAACAACACTGTCAAGAGACAATCTTAAAGGCTCTCTTCCTTTTGCAACTCTTTTTTCTTTTTCTTTTTCTTTTTTTCTTCTTCTTTGTCTCCTCACCTCATACTAGGTGATCCACTGCAGTGGTTATTTGAAGATACGGCAGTACATGTTGGATATGTCTTTGTATGACACCTGTTACCAGATTGTAGGTCTGGTTGCTGTAGGTCAGTCACTACCTCCTAGTGCAACCACTGAGATCAAACTTCACAGTAATATGTTTATGTTCAGAGCAAGCCTGGACTTAAAACTAATATTCCTGGATTCCAGGTAAGTAAAATTTCATTTTGAAGTTTGATCAGATTCTTCATGTGCATATAGTAGCTTGCAAACAATGGTTTATAAATAATAGTAAAAATGATATAAGAGCAATTCAACATATACAATACTTTGCAAATAATAATAGTATGAGAGCAATTCAATGTATACAAAACTGCAGGGATTTTTTAAAACTATTAGAATATTGATAGTAGAATACTCAATACTGAAATTTGTAAAGAGCAACCCTCACCATCGTCTTGTACAGTATCCCATGTTAATACAAAGTCATATATTGCTGGAACCTTCTTCATCCCCTCTCCTCTCCTCTGACATAGATCCACATGTTGTCATCATAGGCTCTCTTGCCTTTGCCTCTTGTTGTACTTTTGGAAGGAAGGAAGGAAGGAAGGAAGGAAGGAAGGATCGAGCCACTGTGATACTTCTTGGGAGCTGCAGTTCTTTGGAAGGCACCTTCTCTAGAACATAATGGATAGTGAGACTACAACGTCTGATGTCAGCCAGCGCCACCACCACTTAACTGACCAGCAGGGACAGTACCTCCTGGACACAAAGGACATAGGAGTTGTACTCTCACTGTGCATTAAGCTCCACAGAGGGTATCTTCTAAATCCCAGGAAACACCACAGCAGCTTTCTTAAAACAACAACAGGGATGACGGGAGGCAAAATCCAAAGAATCTTTTGGTTGGAACATAGTAGTATTAGAGGTGAGCCACCCTTCTTCCACGGTTGGGGGGGAGGTGGAATCTAGAGATTTTCAGTTTTGGGTTTGTGGACTGAAACTCCCAGAATTCTGCCTGAGAGATTCTTGTAGAATTCTGAGGACTGCAGTCCAAAAATACAAAACAGCACACTCCGAGTTAACTCCTTGCCAACTCTAGCAATTGAATAGAGGCTTCAAACCTGCTGTGTTCAGTGGGCTCCATGTCATGACCCCAAAGTAAACAAGTCTGGTCCTGTTGGAAAAAACACATGATACAGAATTTATTGTAAATAGATTTGTTAAAACAACATAAAAATTATCATTATAGAGAAAGTGCATCAAGCTATTTGAACCCCCATGGTCCAGCAAATGTCATTCCCTGACATGTTTTGACAAGGGAAATGATGTTTCTTTAACAGCTGCACAAGCACATTGCACGCTGCTAGTGTCTAGCAGAATGTCAATGCCCAACAGACTCACAATACTTTTATACCACAGTGCAGTCTACAATGTAAAAGAAGCTAAGCAAGAAGGTGTGCAGGGAACTGATTCCCTTAGATAGAAGAACCTAGCAGGCATTCTTTTACTAATCCATCAGAGAAAGCAGACCACCTTGCTAAGATGCCATGTAACACAAGGATGACCTAATGAGAATAGTCACGCTCAGAGAATAACACATTTTTGCAATGTAATTCTTTTATGCCCAATATTTTGCTCCAGCAAACTAATAGGGTGTACCCATTAAGGAAGGACCATGCCCCCAAAATAAAGAAGTACAATTTTTATTGAAATGAGACACAGAACGGTAGAAGTAATAATTTTTTGTAAAAGAAAAATACTGCATTGAAAATAATTGTAATAACAGAAGAATAATATTTCCGAATTAATCTCACATGAATTATGTGTACAATCACACAGACCTCCTTATGGAACTTAGGACTGGCTAAGTCATTTATTTTTTGGTATGGTTTAGAAGAAAATAGAATAGACAACATGAATTAGAAAAAAAAAACCTTCTGTAATCAGTATCTTAGATGTCTTTGATTTATACAGTATGTCCCACTGAAACACTATTACCATACTGTATATTATTCTGTGATGAAAATAAATATTAAAATGTAAATGGTGAAATCCTGTTGTGCAACGTAAAACTGAAGAGTGATGACAGCAGGAGACAATTTTCAGTAATTAAAAACTTCCTCTTTCAGTCCCATAGATGTTCCAATTCCTGTGTACTTCCTTTCACTTTATGGAAGCTGCAAGATGAAAGAAAGAAGTCTTTAATTCCAAAAAATGACTGCTGCTATTGATTTTACTGACACAGAGATATTTTTGGTAATTTAAAAACTTCCTCCTTCTGTCCCACACCTTCCATAAAATGAAAAGGATTATATGGGAATCAGAAAAGCTGCAAGATGTATTCTTCATAATTCTTTGTGACCATATTTTATTCCAATCCTCATTGTTTGAGAAACATTTCAAAATTGTCTGTATTTCACAACAAAGCATATTAAAAGTATACTTTCCTTTAAGTATTTTAACTGGCTTTTTTCAAGAGCTGGTACTGCAGGGCCTTCTTTCTAACATGTCTTTGTAAATTCAAGCCAAAGAGGAGTGTCCCATCTCTCATAATCAGTCTCTGTAGTTCTTATTATATCTTCGCAGCTGCAAAAAACAAACAAACCTTAGCATAATAGGAGCGGAATTAAGATACTGTAAAATGCACTGTTGGATAGTATCTTTGATTAGGACCACAAACATGGCTTGCACTACTATCTTTGTGCCACTTTGGTAACATTTCAGCAACTCTGATAAAATGTACTATCTGACTGTTTATTTGATACAAAAAAGGCAGTGCAAATCCTGTCTCCTATTCTCAAAGCCTTCTGAAAATTGAAGGTGCTTTCAGGACTAATCAGTTGATTCCTAGGGAGCACTGATAGAAGAAAACGAATGCTCCCAACAGTATATGATTTTAGTCTCTCCGTTAATCGACTTCCTTTCTCATTACAAAGGAGAGGAAATAAGTTCTGTACAATGCCTTTGTAAATAACTGTATATTATGTTTTTCAATATAATGGCCTGTTGCCCCTCCCCACCACTTCTGAATCACTTGAGCAATATTTTTGTGGTGAGGTTTAATTTGCCTCATGCAGAGGTGGAAAGGAGCTTCTGGATCTGTCCATGGCTCACTATGATTGGAAGATGGATCATAGCCCATTATTATGACTGCTGTAAAAATAATACATTTCTTGCTGATAAGTGAACCTTTGTCAAAGTGTTAGGTAGAAAAGAAGATGGACGATGTAAAGAGGCTTAGTGTGCTGATGCTTGAATAATTCATCTAGGTGAACTTTAAAAGCCCATGAAGATTAAAAATGTTGCTTTATTGATCCAGTCATATGATCAAACAGAACTAAATCTAATTTTAGTCACAACCAGAGTAGACCTATTGAAATAAATAAGACTTGTGGTAATGTTGACTGGTCACATTCATTTCAGTGGGTTTACTCTACTAAGAACTAAAAGTGAATTTAGTAAAGAATGTCTATAGTCAGAAGTGTATCTTAATACATGAGCTGGTAAGACTGTATTAAGTTAAGTCAATATAAAATAAGAAGACAGTGAAAAACACAGAATGAGTTATTTGTTCTGGGTTTTTCACTGTCTTCTTATTTTATGTTGAGTTAATATAACTTAATTTAAACTTAAATATTTTTCTTTCATCCATTTTAGATTCACTATTATTTACTATTCTCTCTCCTAAGTGAATCTAATAAACGTTTTTCTAGACAGTATTAAATTATAATAGGTCTCATAGACTGATCACTCCTGTTACAGCAATGTATCTTGGCAGAAGTGAATTAAAATTTGTCTGCAGCAAAAAAGAGATCTGTATTTACATTTTATTAGAGTAGCTCATTGTATGCGGTGGAGGAAGGGGGTATGTAAGATGTGAGCAGCTTTGAACAAAATTACTGTCATATTATTGACTGCTCACTGCTGGATACATATATGACATTTCTTCCCATCTAGTCAGACGGGGTGGGGGGAAGCATTCATGCATCTGGAAGAAGGCCTACATTCAATGTGCTTTAATTATCATGAAGCAGGACCATCTGATTTGAACCAGCAGTGGAACTCTAATACCAAGCATGAGGTGCTCCAGGGAAGACCATAATGCCCATTCATGCCCTCTGCCTATCTAAGCTGGTAATATTGTTCCTCACCATGGTCTGAGCAGTTCCTCCTGTCCATGTTAAGGATTCCTTATTATGGTTCTCCTAGCTGTGTCTTAGATTAATTCTGGGTGTGAACAAACATTCCTCCTCTGTTCCATAACCCAATTTATACAGAAAAGCTTATATCACACTTGCCCATTATTGTATCAACTGGAAGAGCCACAAAGGATGTATGTTCTGTCCTTTGCATGTCCACAAATTTGCTTCTGCTAAAAAAAAGCAAAATGTTTTTATAAAACTCTCCTATAAAAAAATCTATGGTTGTTGTGTAATGTTCAACACATTTAAGTGGAACATTTTTTTGAAACCTAACTGTCTTGATGAGGTTTTGTGTGAGTCTTCTGCATGAGGTCCTTTTGTCTTCTGCACCAATAAAGTTAAGAATATATTAACAGTTCTTTCTGTCAATGTGTAGGATGCTGAATAATTGCCACTATTTGATTTCTGAAAACATGAATGTTTAATGCTGCTATATATTCATAGGACCAGTGCATATTAGCTATTTTCTCTTTCAGAGTGACAGAGTTAACTGGATATGAGCCACAGGACCTGATAGAAAAAACTCTGTACCACCATGTGCATGGGTGTGACGTATTTCATTTAAGATATGCTCACCATCTCTGTAAGTGAAGGAAAACAAAATGATTTGCTAGTAATATGTTAGCACAGATTGTATTATATGTGTATTTACTGTGAAAATGACTGAGCATAACTTTCCAGTGTTCATCTGCCATTATAAAAATCTCACATGTGAAATAGTTGTTACACTCTCCACTGCTGCCAGTATGTCCCTTCCACTTTGTCCTCTTAATATGCAACTGAACACAGTGCATAATGTGATGTTGTTGTGCTGTGTAGTGTTCAGTGGCTAACAACAAAGCATGTGAGGTTGGGTAACTTAAAGTGGAAAGGCATAATATTGTGTGTTCATGTATATACTACAAGAAGATGGGACAGGAAAAGTAAAAAGGTCAGCAGAACTCATCTCACATTACCAACTAATTAGGATTTTGAGAATTAAGTTCTTAAAACTATCAGTAAGATTATTCTTAGGGGCAAGAGGAATATATACTTTCCTTGCTTGCTTCTATCCTGAAAAGAAACAGAGGAGATTCTTGCTTGAATCTCCCACCTCCATCTCATACAAATACAATTTTCCATTTCCATTTTTGCTGCTGGGAAAAGTTGCACAAGGCAGTAATGTTTTGACTCAAAAGGCTGTAGGAGGTGATCAAAGTGACTCCAACTCAGCTATATTCCTCAACTGAGACTTCAATTCACTTACAGGAATAATAACAAGTTCTCTTTTATTGTTTTTCTCTCCACCAGTCTCTTTCATGCATTCCTTCTAATATCTTGAGCAAGGACCCAAAGTGAGAAATCTGAGTCATCCAGGTTCTGTTATTTTGTAGCTAAGAGGGGTTTTTTTAAACAGCCAGTGTGGTGTAATAAATAAGAGTGATGAACTATGAATCAGGAAACCTGGATTCAAATTGCTACTTGGCCATGAATCAGTATCTCTCTCTCTCTCTCTCAATCTCTCCGTGTATCAATGATGCAGCCACTCATAAAGTCTCTCAGTTATCCTGAAAAACCTTAATTAGGGTCACCTTACATCAGATGCAACTTAACAGCACAGTTGTTTTGATATGAGAGTATTTGAGTGTCTGTCTTCTGTGAGAATGTGTATGTTTCTCTTTCCCTCTCTCCCTCTGTGTGCGTGTGTTTCTGTGCATGTGTGCGTGCATGCATGCATGCACGCACACACACGTGTATGAATAATAGGTTTTGAAGTTGCTGTTTTTGGAGAACGTGGTTGAGGAAGTAAACCATGTAAGAAAACTAAGTGGAATCAGCAGTGAGACATTTCAAAAGATTTAGAAGTGTTAGAAAAGATTAAAGCAAATATGAACAAGGGATGGGCAAAACGAATTTGTTTGGATGCATGCACTCCCTTGAGGCATCATCCCCATAAGAAATCCCAGAGTCCCTGAAAGCCAACTGTTTTTTAAAAATAAATATTAATAATAAAATGGCTCCTTTTGCTTTGGGAGGCCTCCAGGAACAGCAGTTTCCATACTATGAGAATGGGGGGGCTTCTCTTTTGGGGTCCCCCTCTCAAATTATGTTGGCCATCTCTAGCCAAGGTGCAGCCCTGGCAGACCTTGGGAGCAAGAATTTGGCTTCCTATCCCTGTCAAAGTTGCCCACCTCAATTTGAAAGAAGAGACAAACAAGAGTGCAAGAACAAAGGTAAGTTCATTGGAGTTTTAAAAAATAAGTTAGAGGGCAAGTTTAAGAACAACCAGAAGCTGTTTAAGACTACAGTATCTGCATGTGGTGCCTCAGAAGATCAAGTAACCCTATGCCTTCCTTGAATCATGGGATAAATGCTTCTGCTCCCATAGCTGGAAACCTTGTAATCTTACATATTACACCAGCTACCTTTTTACTTTGTTTTTTGTTGGATGGCTGATCCAGCATTAAATCAGGAGAGGGAGTCTATGAGAGTTGAAAAGCTACACTTAGTCTGTGTTGACAGACCCAAATTATTGAGCACATAGTGTTATTGTTTCTCACTTTTTCAAAAGCAGAAGGAAAGTTAGCAGGGCTGGTATTTTCATGATGAATAAATGCTATATGATGAAATGCTGAAGCAACACTAATGCTGCAAAAGGCATTCACTTTGTTTAGCTTTAAGCAATGGAGAATGAAATATGATGATCAAAATTATGCTTACATCCAGTTAAGTATCAGGAAGCTTAAAATGTATACACAAGTGGCAGATGTAGGCAAGTAAAAGGAATGCTGGTCTGGAAGGCTGCTGAACTTAAGCAGTACTCATGAGTACTACAAATACTATTATGTACAGTTATGTAGCAGTGAGAAGAAACAGGGAATGAAACAGAAAGTAGAATTCACAGCTTGAATAGATGAATAGAAAAGGATGAAATTAATGATAGCATATCACAAGAATTCTTTAAAACATACATGAAAGATATAGAAACTGTGCTTGCAGACTTTTGCTACAACAGCTTCTCTACATTCGTCATCAAATATCTTGGCTAGCATGTAAATTAAAAGATTGCATGCTACATTGCCTAATGATATGTCAGCCTGTTGACATAATAAGGAGAAAAGCATATTATACCTAATATGAAAAAAGAAAGCTATGACAAAATAATTCCCCATAAAACTAGTGAGTCACGTGAAGAAAGGTGGGAGAATGCAGGTCGCATTAGGAGTTTCCTATGTGTTGGATGCACACCTCCCCTGAAGGTCTATAGTATGGCAGACACTTAAGATCTCTGCATTGTAGTTAACAAGAAACTTTTCATGTAGTGGATGAGGTCACCCTAAGAAGAGGGTTATTCCCCCCACTTGCTCTGCCAGGCAGTAATACTTGACTAATCAGATTGATCCAAGGTTTCCTCCAGTGGATGAGACCACCTTGAGTGATTAGTTTACTTCCTGCCTACTTTCATACAGGATATTTTTTAGCTTGCCTTCAACTCATATATTCTTCCTTCTCATTCTTCACTCTACCTTTGTAACAATCATCATATGTACAACAGTACAGGATGGATCTTTTTGATCAGAAGAGGTGTTCTTTGGCAGGAGGGTGTTGCCTGTCTAGTTTCAGGCTGTAATTTACTCCTAGGGTAGATGTCTGTTATTTTCCTTCCTCAGTTTTCTTTATGGCTTTGGTAAGTCATTCTTGTTAGGAAATCCTCCTTTATTACATGAAAGAAGAATGTTGGCACTCATCATGGGATGTTGATTTTATGTTGTGGAAGGAAAGTGTACTTGTCTGATGAGAAAGGAAAAGATCTGCTGCATTTTATACAGGGACATCCACTTTGGTTGTTGCATCCTCTTTCTTGTCTGTTTTATTCTTCTTGTGCCTAATATTCTTGTAACTGTTGGAGATTAGACTGGTTAGTCAAAACCCTAGATCAATCTAACTGGTCAATAATTACTGCATGGTGAAGTGAGTGTTGACAGTCCTCTCATTAGGATGTTTTCCTTTCAGTAAGTACCAGCAATCTTATTTATTACATGAACCTTGACAGACTTAGTTGGTACGTGTGTGGTTCACTGTTGTTACTTATCCGAAAGACTCTCTCAATAAAACTTGTCTCAATAAGAATGTAGTTCCACCTTAAAAACTTGCCACTATGGCTTCTGTAACAGTGCTGTATATGAACAAGTACTTAAGATCCATCTCTGCCTGCTTGCTGGCAACATCACTGATCACCAGTCAGCTAGCAGAATCCTTTTCTGCTACAGAGAAGTGGCCTATCGGTGGAACAACAGTGGCATTATATATCAGTCTGTGAAGCATGTTAACAATTAGTAACAGCTGATCGTTGTAGGTTTTTCAGGTTGTTTGGCCGCGTTCTTGAGGTTTTTCTTCCTAATGTTTTGCCGGTCTCTGTGGCTGGCATCTTTGGTGGACAGGAGTTAGAACTCTATCTGTTTTCTGTCTGTTCTCAAAACACAGACAGAGTTCTAACGTCTGTCCTCTGAAGATGCCGGCCACAGAGACGGGCAAAACAATAGGAAGAAAAACTCCAGAACACGGCCAAACAGCCTGAAAAACCTACAACAACCATTGGATCCTGGCAGTGAAAGCCTTTGAGAATACAATTACTAACAGATTTAGGCATAGTTGATTCAGAACCTATGGAGATCATTGAAGACAGTTGAGGGTGCATACAGTATGATCTACACAGGAGTGAGTTCATGTATAAAACACAGTACAGTAATAAGAAGCAGTACTTTGTAAGAGATAAAGCAAGGCAAGGAATTGAACGGAAGTGTTGTGCAACTAAAGAGAGGTTGGTGCATTGATCAGGCCATTGTGCAAGATCTGACACCTGAAGTTGAGTGCATGCTTCATTGGGAAGTGGTGCTGGAGATACCTAGGTGGAACTCAGTTTACACTGAGCTGCTGCATGTCTTTGCATCCTGAAATCTGAGATTACCCTTTACCTCTTCTGGCATATGCTGAGACCTACTTTCGATTTAGACTAATATTCTTAGATGGCTGATGTCACATCTTTCCTTCTCATGTTTCCTTCCTGACTCTGTCTGGAAGAGGACAGAAGAGACCTTTTTTTGCCCAAGAGGTGCAAGGGCAATCCTTGCTCCAAGCGTTTTCATTTTAGCTAGAATTGGGATTATTATAGTCTACTAATTCAGTGTATTTTTGTAATAAAGAGCAGATTTCCTATTTTCCTAGAAGAAGTTTTGGTTGTGATTTCTTTCCAGGGGGAGGGCAGCAGGAATGTGTTCTGTTAACCATTCTGTTCTGCAGAGTTTGAAATCACAAATTAATTTAACTTCCTGCTTGCTCTACTAGCATATGCAATAGGCTACAATACAGAATTATTTTCTGGTCTGGGTTGTGCTTTATGCTTAAGAGGAACAGAGTAGATTCTTAGAATATAGTGTAAGGTATCTAGGGCTGGATGTATGCCAAGAGTTCAGGATATAACACAAATGAAGGTTCCAATGAGTTTTTTAAGTACACACACCTCTTGAGACTTCTGAGCACCCAAGCCTGTACTATATGCATGTACTATTTATGTACTATTCAAGTGAGTTTTATTTGTTATCAGATTTTATGTTAAAGGAGACCTGTGTCCTCCAGGGGATAAAGGCAGGGTGTAAATAATAAAAAGGAAACAAGATGAAATCTGTATGAGAAGAGTATTCGATTTTCATCATTCAAATACCAATATTTTATAAGTTTCTTGCACCAAGTTCTTCCTTGGAAATTTAATTATAGGGGGCCAAATTTTACTCATATCTGTCTTTCAGATCTTCAAGGAAAACACACAGAATAAATATAAGTACTGTAGAATGATTTTCCATTCAGAGCAAGATTACATCATACAGTATAATCTTATTGAAGGGATTTGCCTGATTCACCTCAGAATCTCATACATGCCATCTGTAGTTTTGCAGCAGAAAGGGAGAATAATAGTTTGTCCTTTGTTTTTGAAGATGACCATCTCCATCATATTCTCCATTTAAAGAAAAAGAAGGAATGGTTAAAGTTGAGTGGCAGCTGGTGGCCACACAGTTGACTAAGTAGCCCAATATGAGCCTAGACAACGCAGAAAGCCTTGGGGCTAGATCAGCTGACCCTGGGTTTGTTGGGCTGTCAAGCAGTTACATCCGTGTGAAGTTCTGCATCAGAAGGGGAGAATATAAATTTATTTAAGTCCCTTTCATATTATTTTTATAGTGTTGGTGAAAGGGCAAGTCACAACCAAGTACTATCGATTGCTGTCAAAGAATGGTGGCTGGGTTTGGATCCAGAGCTATGCCACCATTGTACATAATAGTCGATCATCACGACCTCACTGCATAGTGAGTGTGAATTATGTACTAACGTAAGTCCATGTTTCTTGCCTTCTTTATCATTTTCGTTTTGCTCCCTTGGGGGTCTTATACTGTAACTGTAACTTGTTATTTCCATCTTTTTTTTCCATTTTGTTGCTTACACATTGAACATTAAATATATGCTGCTGTTGTTTTTCTTCACAAGTATATCCCTCTTTGGTAAGATCATCACCTTTTCTTTGGTATGCCCCAAGGAGGGAAACATATCTTTGGTATGACCTGTGTAATCTGAAGATCAACTCACTTATGGGTCTCATACTGCTATTTCTGAAGATCTCTGTTGTAGAGACATAACAAAGGACTGAATCCAACATAGTCCCACTTAGAGCAGACCCACTGAAATGAATGGGATGTGTTAATTACAACAAATCTACATACCACTGATTCCAATGGGTCTGCTTTTGGTAGGGCTTGTAATCGTTCTTGTAATCTTGGCAAAAATGCTTCTTAGACATCATCCACCAGAGCTAGCCCAATACATTTGGATGTCCTTGAGAAAAATGGCAAGATGTCTCCATTCCCCGTAGAGAAGTTGAATCTTACTTCAACTAGTGATGGGGATAGTGTGTTTCAGTACTCCTGAGTGGCATAGGGATCTACAGCAAGCAAAGGTCCGCATAGTCAAAGCTGTGGTTTTCCCAGTAGTGATGTGTGGAAGTGAAAGCTGGACCGTAAAGAAAGCTGACCGCTGAAGAATTGATGCTTTTGAATTGTGGTGCTGGAGGAGACTCTTGAGAGTCCCCTGGACTGCAAGAAGAACAAACCTATCCATTCTGAAGGACATCAAGCCTGAGTGCTCACTGGAAGGACAGATCCTGAAGCTGAGGCTCCAATACTTTGGCCATCTGATGAGAAGAGTAGACTCCCTGGAAAAGCCCCTGATGTTGGAAAAGGGTGAGAGCAAGAGGAGAAGGGGACGACAGAGAATGAGATGGTTGGACAGTGTCATCGAAGCTACCGACATGAATCTGACCAAACTCCGGGCGGCAGTGGAAGACAGAAGGGCCCGGCGTGCTCTGGTCCATGGGGTCATAAAGAGTCGGACATGACTAAATGACTAAACAACAACAAATGCAGCACATGCAACTCTGTTCTTGAACACAGGGGAACACTTGAAGGTAGGCTTTAGGTGGTCTGTTGCAGGTCTGCCTCTCTGCATTATGCAATATAAGGTGCCCGGTTCATTATGCATAATGGGAGAGTTGTTCCTGCCATCTTATTAGATTCAGAATTTTAAGAGCACATCAAAGTAATATGAAGTCAAATGTAAGCTGGGGAACTCTTGAAAATGCAGCATGCCCTATACTGGGCTGTATACAGTATCAGTTCACTGCATACATAGAACATTGGTGATCAATCTAATATTGGGAGCTGAATAAAAGGTTCAGTTCATTCTGAACAATCTTAATTAAATGAGATTGTAAGGTTAGCTTTTTCTGATAATATGCAATATATCAAAGCAACCTGTTCTTCTATTTTGGACATAAAGGTCTCCGTTTTATTATGTGATATGTTTGAGATTTCTAATGCTACATTTATGATGATGAGGCTCATAGCAGAGTAAGAGAAATGACTTTAAGAACCATTCTTTGTTGTAATATTATTGTTGTTTTGCAGCGATATAGAATACAAGGAACTTCCATTGTCACTGGACCAGGTCACCATTTCCAAATCACAGTTTTCATGCAGAAATTCAGTGTCTACCTCACAAGAAGCAAGAAAAGCAACAAAACCTAGAAATAATAAAATGAAGACAAAACTTAGAACAACTCCCTATCCACCGCAGGTAATCCCTTCTTCAGTAGAATATTTCATACTGAGCTACAGTGGCAATGACCTATATGCAGCTGGTATTACATGAACAATCTTTTCAATATCAAATTATACCGCCCTTAGAGCCTAAACATACAAGTTGCTGCATTGGATCTGTTATGTGTTCTGGATCAAGACTAAGATTGTTGCATGAATGCAGTGTCATCATTTCTGCAGTTAGAGAATTGTACTGGTGCAACAGCATTTTGTAGCACAACTTCCTTTGTAACTGTATCTCTTATCAGCAGTTTGCAAATCCTTCACATAGTTTTGCATAGAATCCTAGGGAAAGTAACTTAACTGATTTATGGCCCCACACATATAGCAGGGCACACTCTGGGCCTTGTTTTTCATGCTGGGCAGGATGATGGTGAGCTCTCTGTAGTTCCGTTGTCATCGACAGATCACTACTTGGTGAGGTTTAAATTTACTGGAACTCTTAATCTCTGCAGGGGTGGAGGACCTATTAGGATGGTCTGCCCCAGGAGACTGACGGTCCAAGTGGTTTTCTGATGGCTCTTGGGGAGTTTCCTGTTGCCTCGGCAGGTTATCCTGTTGAAGCTGTGGCTGATCTCTGGAATGGGGAAATGGCCAGGGCACTGGATATAATTGCTCCTAAGCATCCCCTCTGGTTCACCAGGGATCTGGCAGTGATGAAACAAGTGGGATGGAGACTAGAGCAATGATGGCAGAAAACTCAGAGTGAATCTGACCAAACACAGGCTAGAGCCCATTTGAAGACCTATTCAGTGGCAGTGGCTGCAGCAAAGAAAAGGTTCTTTGCTGTTGCCATTGCACCTGCACAAAGTCATCCAGCTGAGTTGTTTCGAGTGGTTAGGGGCTTCGTACATGCCCCACCAAAAGAACAAAATATTGACCACTCCACAACCTGCTGTGAGGAATTTACATGATATTTTGCAGATAAAGTTGCTCGGATCCACTCTAACCTGGATGGTGTAATTGATACAGACCCAGTGGATGTAACTTTGGCCCCGTCCTGTCCTGTTTTAATGGATACTTTTCAGTTGGTGCAGCCTGATGATGTGGACAGGATTCTTGGAGAGGTGAATGGCGCCACATGTGTGCTTGACCCTTGCCCTTCCTGGCTCATAAAAGCAGCCAGAGGAGAAATGGCTGATTGGGTA